GGCAAGTATGTGGCAGTCTTAGTAGTGAGAGGTGGGGGTGATATTGGGGAAAGGGGCAAGTGTGCGGCAGTGGTTACTAATTAGTTATTAATTACAATTTAGATTGCTCTGGTCACTGATGTAGTACGAAAATATTCAGTTTATGGGTGGATGGTTGTGGTGGTGGTTGATGTGTGACATCATAGACCACGTACTGACATCACCATAAGATTAAATTAGATTAGCCTTTACGAACGCTAATTAACTTACGTTTACATATAGTTAACCACCACTAAGTAAATGACATAAACGGGTCGGAAAAATCAGGAAACGGGGCGGACATTGTCGTAACTTGTGTGCAGTAGTTAGAAACAACACGCTTATGGCTTAACTTTTAAAGGTTGCAACGCCAAGCCAACACTAACGCCCTACGCCGTTTGTTGACACGACCTATACATGCAACACTGCGCCACAACGCCACTGCGTTTAACCAATGGTCCATACCGTGGGTTCAAGCCCTTCCCTACCCCCTCCCCAGGTTTTGTGATGTGTTCACAATCGTGTCTTTACGATTTCGTGAGTCTAAATAAAGTATGTACAGAAATCAGCTTAAAAGCTACTTAAAAATCTCCATTTTCCATTTATGATGCTGTAAGAGGGTATATTACTCTTATCCGGGGAAGAATGCTTTATTTCGTGACATTGGTTTATGCATGTTAAAAATCCTATGTAAGTAAATTAACTAATCTATGAATAAGACAAATTGGGACATATGTTTTTTTAAATAATTTCCATAGACGACCCCCCCCCCCCTTTCATAATAAACAGTGTACCTCAGGCCGCATTAAAACCGTGAAAGATTTCTCAATAAATAAATCGAGCATTCAGTTAATATTTTAGTAAGTTTGTTATTATTGGGTATACTCTGAACTATACCGAATGATTGTTTAATGATATAATTATGCGGAGAGTTAAATTGGCGTAGGTCATTCTGTGCAAGGAATTGTGGAGGCTTGATCCTCCCTCCGCTAACAGTGAAATGCACACTGCTTTCCCAGCTAGACTTCCCCGAAAGTTGTCACTGAAGTTTATTAGTTGGCCCAGTAATTTTTTTTTTCATTGTCAATGTAATCTAGCCATTCGAGGATGTAATGTCGCAGAGAACACACACAAACTTTTATAATAATGGAGAAGCACGAAACCCGTAGGGGTCATACATAGTTGGGGAAATGGGAGGCAGACAAGTTTGATTTTTATTCTGGAGGTAAAATTTGTTAATGGGAAGTGGAAACGTGATTCTTTTTCATTGCTAAAACTTTTAAGGATAGCCTGAGCATGATCCTTGTATTCATTAAAAGTAATATGTATTTACCTGGACAGGTATCCAAAGTTTGTCTTCTGTTAATCAAGACAGCGCTCAAGTCGCAAAGTCATCCTGGAGGACACACACACACTTGACAAGACCTACATCGTAGAGGGAAAAAGTGTTGCAGTTGCAATACGTTGAAGCACACTCCAATTCTCTCTTCCCATTACAAGTGCTTGGGGAAGCGCCAAGTTTCGCTATACACGTAATAGGCAGTTTGAAGCAAGCGCCTCGGATATTGGAGTTTTGCATTTTCCCCCGCAACTTCTAAAAATTTGTTTCGAGTGCAACATGATGTGTTTCCTTGGCAAACATTTCAGTGTTGTAGCCTTAACAAGACTTGAATAGAAGCGAACAGACGTAACTAAGCGAGTCCTTATACCCATACGAAGTCTCCCTTATTATCAACGCACTAAAAAACAAGGCAGGAGATTTAAATACCTTACCACCCTTTATATACAAAAAAGTGTCACAAGTGCTATCACCAATCATTGCAACACTCTTTAACAAATCCATTGAATCCTCCACCTTCCCTACAGTACTCAAAATAGCAAGGGTCACCCCGATCCACAAAGGAGGAGACCAAACAGAGTTGAATAACTATAGGCCAATATCCAACTTACACCCTCTCTCAAAAATCTTCGAAAAATTAATTCATAAACGAATCTACTCCTACCTTATCTCCCAAAACATACTCAACCCCTGCCAATTTGGATTCAGGCCTAATAAAAATACTAATGATGCTATTATACACATGCTAGAACATATATACACTGCAATAGAGAAAAAAGAAGTCCCACTGGGGATCTTCATTGACTTACGTAAAGCTTTTGATACAGTTGACCATGACTTGCTCCACGTAAAATTGTCACACTATGGTATAAGAGGGCACTCCCTCAACTACCTCAAGTCATACCTCAGCAACAGAAGCCAATATGTGTACGCAAATGGGGCAAACTCTTCTGCACAACCAATTACAGTTGGTGTCCCACAGGGAAGTGTCCTTGGCCCTCTTCTCTTTCTCCTATACATAAATGACCTACCAAATGCTTCTCAATTACTCAAACCCACACTATTTGCTGATGACACAACATACGTCTTCTCCCACCCGAGCCCAGTCACGCTAGCCAATACTGTAAATACCGAATTACAGAAAATATCTACCTGGATGAGTACTAACAAACTTACACTAAACATTGACAAAACCTACTTCATTCAGTTTGGTAACAGAGCTACAGATGTCCCTCTTAACATAATGATAAACGGATCACCTATCACAAAGCTAACAGAGGGAAAATTCTTAGGAATCCACCTTGATAATAGACTCAAATTTCATACACATATACAACAAATTTCTAAGAAAATTTCCAAGACTGTAGGCATACTATCGAAGATACGGTACTATGCTCCACAGTCAGCCCTCCTGGCCCTATATCACTCTCTTATTTACCCTATCTCACCTATGGAATTTGTGCATGGGGCTCAACAACAAGTAACCATCTCAGACCACTAATTACCCAACAAAAGGCTGCAGTTAGAATGATAACAAATTCTCACTACAGGCAGCACACTCCACCAATATTCAATACACTCAACCTACACACCATACAAAACATCCATACTTATTACTGCACCTATTACATACATAGAACACTCAACTCTGATATTAACCCTCCCCTCAAACATCTCCTTGCCAACCTCAACAGAACACATGACCATAACACAAGGCACAGATCACTCTTTGATATTCCTCGTGTCCATCTCACGCTATGCAAAAACTCAATGCACATAAAAGGCCCTAAAATCTGGAATTCATTACCTGTAAATATAAAGAAACACTACCTGTTTATAAATTCAAGTCTCTTCTCAAAGATCACTTACTCACCCAAAACCAAATAAATACTGAATAACTGAACCTTATAAATTGTATATCTTAAATGTTTCTCACAATTATATCACATAAATGTTAAACCTAAAACCCAATCTAACTTTATTATTTTTTAAATACACTACCTAACAGAATACTCCATTCTACTGAATTTACAACAATGCATGCAACCATATGACCTGTCTTTGTAATACTCACTTGTGCTTTATAGTAATCAGTTTACATTAATGTTTTTCACTGATTTCATCATTGCTTAGTTAATCTTAAGTTAATTTTAAGCCAGCCCGTAATGCTATGCATAGTATAAGTGGCTTTGGCATGCTGCTCTTATCTGTATTTTTTTTTTGTACCTCTGTAAGTGTGCTCAAATTATAAATAAATAAATAAATAAATGGTTTTTCTCCCTGCGTTGTCTAGGCTACCATTGTCGTGGTAGTTTGAGAAAAAAACTCAATAGGATCAAAAGTGCAACACTGTATCTTTGCGTGATTGTTAGGATATATAAGCTGCGAGGTGTGTGTCTGTGTATATGCACTGAGAGATTGTTTTAATCCCTATTTTAAGGATTCAAGTATTGACTGGTGAGGAGCAGGTGACAGTGCAGCCCTACTGACCCTCGTGTAATTGATAGGCTTTAAACCCAATTAACCAACCTAACCAGCTTAATATTGAAGGTTTGAATAGGGTCAAAGACAGCTTGTCTTGATCGGACAACGTTTCGATCAAGCGTGAACCATATCATATATAGCTCACAGTTCAGCGAAATGTTGTCCAATAAAAATTCCTTTGTCTTTCTTTGCTCCCATACGTGGGACAATTTGTGCACGGAGTACGTGTGTGTACACATACTGAGGTGTATCGGTATGTATACAACGAAGTGTGTATGTATTGGTATAGACCGGGCCGCGGGGGCGTTGACCCCCGGAACTCTCTCCAGGTATATATATGTACACCAAGGGGGTGGATATATACCAAGGGGCGTGTACTAGTGTGTATATTCTGAAGCGTGTATCAATATATATCCCGGGTATGCGTATCTCAGAGCATGTACACTGATAAACATCAAGCACTGTTAAATATGCCCTAGAACTTCCAGTCAACCATTGTAAGACAACCCTGGAAAATCGAAGATCATAAAGCAGATCGAGGAGCCACATAAAGTATCCTTGGCAATTTGTAATAATGTTGGTAGAATTACCGACTATGTTGGGTAAAAGGACACAAGTGCCACTATTGCGACATTTTAATGTGGCAACGTTTCGCTCTCCATGAACTTAATTAAGTCGTAACGGCTTGATAAAACTGCTGGATAGTGAAACGTTGCCACGATAAAATGTTATATTAGTTGCACTTGTGTCCTTAAAGTTACTTAACATATCTTAGGCAAGACTACTAGGATGTGATTCTCTTTTGTTTTTAAATGTGGGAGTAAAACGTAGTAGACTAGGAGATGTTCAGTAAGTTTAAGTAATCAGGTGGCAAAGAACTGCGTCAGGAGGCATCTAGTCCTGCTTCCTCGTATATAAACCATTAGGAAAATTCGTCTTAGGAGTTTAATCATATGAATCGCTGTTGAATTTTTGGTCCAGGGAATTATAGCCTTGTTGACATAGTTAAAGGAATGAAGTCAGACAAGTACAGCAAAACGCTTGTATTGCGACATTTCGTTCTAAGGAGAATTTAAATATGATCACATTTGAATGAAATATCTCCATAAAGGTGTAAACTGTGTATGCAGTTTATTAACATTTTGCCTTGTGTCGACAGTTGTTCCTGGCGTGCTTGTGCAACCTGCAGAATGAGTCGCTGCTGTACGAAGTGGACACAGACAAGCTCTTCAGCAACATCCAGGAGATTTACTGCGCCAACCTCACCTTCTGGAGGGAACACATCGTTAGGATGCTCGAAGCCTCCAGGTCCACCAGAGAACCCCTCGACCCAACCCTTCTCACCGATGCCTTCTATAAGGTGAGTGGTATTGAAGCCTGCTTCAAGATGGTGTTGCGGAAGCTTTCTACAAGGTGGGTATTGTTGAAGTCTACAAATTGGGTGTTAAAATCTACAAGGTTGTTGAGGCCTCCTACAAGGTACTATTTTGGGCTTTTACAAGGTGAATGTAAAGCCTTCACGGTGTGGATTTTGATTGTAGATTAATACAGGTGGGTATTTGAAGTCTTCTATGAAGTGTTCGGGAGTACATGGAAAAGACATACAGCGGAGGACTTGGGAGTCCACATAGAGACTACCTGCTGAGAACTAGGCCTTTAATGCAAGGATATTGAAGCAGAAGGGTGGGGAGAGAGCCTTCTGCCTTCTGACTAGTTACGATAGAAACACTACTAATCCCCCTCCCTCTATTCCCTCCGGCCAGGAGCCGGAGGGAATAAAGGGAGGAGAAAGTAAAACATGCCATATTGGAAAAATGGCATTGAAGTTACAATCGAAAGTGAATGGAAGGCATGGGGTACAACTACTTAATTAGTAGTGTTTCTGTCGTAACTTATGTTACTACACTGACACTCAGAGCTGTATACTAGTGGTTCCACTAGTAGTTACTACCAGTTCTCCTAGATAATAGGGTGCAGGTGAGGTGCGCACTACTGCTATGACTATTTCTACCAATACTGCTATTTCAAGTGATTGACTCTTTGTCAACTTATCCTCCTGATGGATGTAGTTGAACAAAGTGCTTGTCCATCTGTCTCTAAATGACTGCATTGTTCTCGTGCTTACAACTTTTTTCCTTTCTGCTATAATTGTTTGCAAAAAAAAAAATCCTTACCCGTTCGTGTTGCATCTTCTGGATACTGGAGCACTGGTTATTGTTCTTCCTAAATAGTTTTTAATAAAAGCAAAAAGCTCATTAGCTTTTATAAAAGGTTGTTGATGCCATTTATATAAATAGGGATGTAATTTAGCCTGCTGGTGCATTAGTATTGTTTTAACAGTGAGGTTTTTCTGCATTTTAACCTGGCTTTGATGTAATTTACATTATTGCAGTTTGACGAGTTGTTCCACCCGTACACTCGCTATTGTCTGGAGCAGAGCAACTGCCAGTTATACTGTAAGGAAAAGGACCACGACAACGAATACTTCAAGATGTACCTTGCTGTAAGTAACCACATTAATTACCCATCATAATGTAGCCTATTTACTGCCAAAAGTTTTCCATGTAATCAGCGATTGAATTGGAAAAACTTTTTCGAAGTTGGTAATTTTTATAGTATAGCTGTAAGAATAATTAAAACTTGAAGAGAGTTTATAAAGCGCAGGTTCCCTGATAGCAGCAAGTGTGTGCGCATTCCTTGCTTCATATTTCAAAACAGAAGGGTTATAATTCTGCTCCAGAAATGAGGTGTTGGGCATGTACAGTTCCCACGGGGTGTTTGGCAGTGTGATGATTTACCTTGCAATATACCATCTTTATGGAATGTGAATCATGGGTGTATATCATAAGGCACGCTGGAGAATACATGTGATGGGTCTGTATAGCTGGGGCGAAGATTAATTTTTTCAGTGTTATCAAGACAATTTTCTAACATGTTTGCCATGAAAGAAGTCTTCACATAGTAAAAACATTGGGTGTTATTGCTATATTTTGGAGATCAATTTGCAGAATAATACATTGCCTACCACGAAGATACCACTACCGTGTTGAAGGTAAATCATCCTACTTTGGCGGAAGGTGTTTTATATATTATTGTAACCATGAACGAGTGGTATTTAACCAATAATAACACCGCGACTAGCCGGGGGATCGAACCCATGTTGTTTTAGTCCGCCTCATGGTGAGCGAAAATTCACGACGCTCTAACCCATTGGACCATACAATCCTACAAGAATCACGCAGAGCTAGGTGTTGTACCGTGATCCGAGGATATACGATGGTGTGGGTGCCTCAGAGCTAATTTCATTCTACTTCCCGTTTGGTGTACTAGCCTCCACAAGCAGTATTGTAACCACGAACAAGTGGTATTTAATCAATAACAACACTGCGACTAGTCACTCGTTCGTGGTTACAATACTATATTGCTTGTGGAGGCTAGTACACCAAACGGAGTAGGGTGAAATTAGCTCTGCGGTATCCACACCATCCTATGTCCCTATCCACCAGATCATTAGCCTTTTCTAGATTCATAAATGCGGCAGACATTTCCTTACCCTATTTAAGTAATGTTTACTCATGCTTTTAGTGCTACTCATCCCCGACGCTTCCTAAATCCTTTTCCTTCCTCTGCAATCCTACTTTTTTACTTTCCCATAATTCGTTTAATAGTAATTCTAGCATTTACCCAGTTTATTCAAAGTTCTTTTCCCCATATAATTCTTAATATCTCTCGTCTCCTCTTTACTTCTAGCACGTAACTACAAACACTCTGGCAATGCTTATATGTGCCTTCCTTGTTTGTACATATAGTGAAGAAATACAATGACCACTCCAAAGCGCTCTCTCCACCTGCTTTTTAACACCTCACTCAAAATCCTTCTGTCCGAGCTGCTTCATCATTTTTGTTCTTTCCACTGCCTCACCCACTTCTCATCGACCTTTGGATATTCCTTACGTCTGTGAGACTTTATTCCTCTCTGTTCCTGCCTACTGTATGAAATCATCGCCTCTCTTTGGTTACCTGGAGTTTACCTGGAGAGAGTTTCGGGGGTCAACGCCCCCGCGGCCCGGTCTGTGACCATAATTCGTTTAATAGTAATTCTAACATTTACCCAGTTTATTCATTATCAGCATCTAACAGTTCAAAATATTCTGTCCATCTTTTGAGTATCTCCACTTCCCCTTCTCATATCTCTAATGTTTCGAACTTTCCTCATTTGTTATCCTTAAGTGTAAATATGTCGTGCACATCGTAGTACCAAACCATATCAGGTGGTTTGATGCTTGGCAAAATGCGGTTTCAAACAACTACATGTATGAAATAGTGCAGCCACTTGAATGAACAAAAGTTCCCGCTGAAGGAAAAAAAAATATTGTTAGAAACACACTTAAGCGAGGAATATAATTGGAACAGAAACTGGAAACTTGTTGTGATGTAAACATATAGATGGATTTAAATAGTTCCTATGTATATAGCATTAAAAATCTGAATTTGTTGCACATCGCAATAAAACCGTTCATATGACTGTTCTATATATAAGGTGGGTCATTTGAATTCTCATAAAACTTGCAATATTTGAATTTATTTTCCAGGTGGCAGAGGCGTGTTTTTTAAAATGTATATTACACGCAGGGTGATAGTAATACAAAATTGTGATGTTGATGTGTTGCAGTGGTGCGAGACGCAGAAAGAGTGCAATAGATTGCGGTTGGTGGACATACTGGTGCAGCCTATGCAAAGATTGACCAAGTATTCGCTCCTTCTGAAGGCCATTCTCAAGAAAACTAACCTCGAGGACCACAAGCTGTGTCCTTCACGATATGGTGAGTACAGGTAGCTTGGATTTTCCTTTGAGCACATTGCATAGGGCAAGGGTTCTTAACCGGGCGTATCCATCCCCATTGAGGGTATGGGAACCAAATGGGCATATGGGAATCTATCTCTGAATAATTTAAAAAAAGTTATTAGATTAAAATAAACTGTCAGCTGTTCTGTTCTAGCTATCCATATGTAGAGTAAAACCAAGCTGTTGACATCTTTTGAAGTCGTACTGGTACTAAATAGGACAGGTGATGGTGGTGATTTCCACAGTCTGGCGAAGGGGAGTATAGGGACATATTGGGCAATCAATAAGGGGTCTGTAATCGTAAAAATGTTGAGAACCCTTGGCATTGGTTTACAAAATTCTTTGGGTCCCCAAAAATTTCGGATGAGATTGAGCTTAAGTGAGAAAACAAAACTGCTTAATCTAGCTTAATAATTTATTGGAATTATTAGTTATGTATGCAGTATAGATTTTATTGGGATGTATGCATTATACAGGGTATCCACAGAAACACTCCCTGATTTCGAACAGGTATAACATGTAACCTTATTGTAATAAACCACCACTACCTGCAACCCTGGAGGAGCTGAAAATTTCGATCACTGAAGCAGTTCACATGATAAGACCAGATATGCTGCAGAGCGTCTGGACCGAACTGGACTATTGCATTAATGTTTGCCGAGCAACCAGAAGGACGCACATTGAGTACCTTTAATGCTACCCTATACCACATGAAACTGAAAGAAATCCTGCGTCTGAAGCTACTGAATGTGAAAGATTATTACAGTAAAGCAGCGCTGTATAGCCCTTGTGGCTTAGCGCTTCTTTTTGATTATAATAATATTACAGTAAAGTTACATGTTATACCTGTTTGAAATCAGGGAGAGTTTTTGTGGTCACTGCATAGTGTAAATATTTAGTTATAAATCTAGTTTATGGCCTACGATTATAAAAATACCCCAGGCCAACGAAAACTTTGATCCAGTCTTGAGTGAGTATCGCTCTTTCTGGGTGCTAGTGACACTTGGGTTACTAAGGTGAGTGTAGTGGTTCTCCTGATATTGGTGTGATACCACACTGAACCTTATAGAGCTAGGCTTCACCGTCATGAATTCCATCGTTATTACCAGAAAATATGATACAAGAACGATTGTTGTAGCTAGATACTAACAATACTTAAAGAACAATAATACCATTAATGCTAAAACACTAGGACTTGAGTAATGGGTTAAAAACAAATTATAGTTGTTATAGATAGAAGCAGCAGTCGAAGACTGGGACCTAAACACGGGGATGTCTGCAGTCCTGCCTCCAAATCTGTGGACGCTCTTGAAAGAATTTGGTCTCGTACAATATACTATACTATACTGTACTGGTATTATATTTATGTATTCATAGGGAAATGCTAAAAGGTTAGGGAATCATACAACTCTTAGGAAAAGGGAGGCTATTAGCTTCATCCAGGGAAAGGGAATATAGCTCAAGTTTCTAGAATCAAGAGCTCTTCATCAGCATCAAGATTTGTATAACCTGCTACCAAAAGGACAGCCAAAGCAGAAATATGAGGATAATGAAGCCACAAACTATCATATAGAGCGCAGCCCAAGTTACTGTTGAAATGAGTATAAACCTAATATGGTACTAAAGAAGAAAGGACTCAAAGGTAAGGACCAACTAGGGGTGAGGGGAAAGTGGGGATAGTTGAAGAATAGTTGGGGAGAGGAAAATAATTACAGAGAAAGGAAAAAGATTCGGGGCTAGACCCAACAGCAAGGCATTGTAATGCATTTATACAGGGCATGTGCAAGAAGTCAAGACGCAGTCAGCATGGCAGCCTCGTCGATAATGCGTTTTTCGCCATAAGAAACCTGTGGTACTTAGTCAACACCCCAGGATTAGGAGAGAGGAGAGAATGAATGCTAGTAAGTGCTGTGAAAGGGCTAACTCAATCAACACGTCAGAGAATTCACAAGAGACAGAGAAGATAAGCCAGCCAGAAATCACGAAATATTCACCCAGAGAAAAATCAGATATCGGGAAGATAAAGTACCTCTCGGAGTCTGTGATCACTGTGTCACTCAGTAGATTGAAACGAGAGGAAGAAGAGAAAACGGTATTGTATAATTGGATTTTTGCTTGGTATAACCTTCAATAAGGATGGTTATAATTCAGGTTTAGAAATGAGGTGATGGGTATAAATAGTTACTATGTCACCAGAGATGGAATTGTTGCCAAACTACTGTAAAAGTGCCAATGATGTATCGATTGTGGAAAATACTGTATATATTTTCCGGAAATACGGTAATTTATAGGATAATAGATGCCCTATATTGTATTTTTAAAAGAAGTATGTTATCGAAAAAAAGGAGACTCGCCATCTTGGTTTTGAATTTTGTACAAACGTTGGTGTAATGGGAAGAATTTTTCGTGCTCTCGAGGTTAAAATTGTGTTGACACCTCTCAAATAGGAGGCGAAATTGGTGGATGTGCATTCCTGCATAACTTGAGATATCAGACGACTGGACAAGACAGCTCCAGGAACCTCAGATAAGCTCGCTAGATTTGTGTGTAATTCTGGCCAGCATTATTTTCATAGATTTAGTTAGAGTGAGGTTTTCTGAGTATGATACACATTAATCTCCAGTAAAATTGGTGAGTGATATTAAGATATATTCTCCTTCTGTTGTATGAATGTGTATATATGTGTATCTATAATCATTTATTGTTTTTAATATACAGTCCATAAATTTATATATTTAACAGCATTCCTGGTGATACAAATCATTTATGATTAATAGGTCCAGAGCAACTTGTGGATATGACAGTGGTAGGTATCGAAGGGGGACATTTTTTGCGACCTAGGTGTCCCAAATTCCTTCTTGTCTGTGTAACTCTGATTAATAATTATCTTTGTTATCATTTTCTGTTACGTACATAATGAGTTACATTCAGATAAATGTAATTTTCCACACCAATACTTAGGAAAGGTGTCACACAAGTACTAAACTATGGACAGGTATCCCTAACGTAAGTGACGTATGATGATGATGACATTAATAACAAGAGTAATAGACCACTTTGAGACCTTAAGCTTCTGACTCGCTTTAATTAGCTAGAATTTTATAACAAAGTGATGGAAATGTAACATAAATAGAAAGGTGCGTGGACCGAGTATTCCTAGATTATCTCAGGTCTTTGATAATTCCCCCTTCCAGAGACTGATCTTCAAAACAAACTGGTGAAACTAAGAGGTTGCTTTATTGGATGAGAAAGCACCTGACGAACAGCCACACTGCGAGAGATGCCAGTCCCCCAAGGATCAATCCGTGGAACGATAGTATTCGTTAATGTATTTTAATGATCTCCCTGGAGAGATTCATTTAAATTAAGGCTTGCAGGTTATACAAAACAGTGAGAAAAATAGAAACAATGGAATAACAGCTGCAGGAGGATATGAATTTAGTTTTAGAAATGATTGGAGAAGTGACTATTACGTTTTAACTTCAAAAATGCAAGGTAATGGCCAGAAGGCCAGTGACATGTATCAGGTGAGAAGGAAAACAGTTCCTAGAATGAGTGAAAAAAAAAACTGACCTGCCTTACCAAATCTAGAGGCCAAAGTGCTCTTAAATCTATCTACCGCACCTAACACGTAAGAGGCGACTGCCCCTACCTCTCCTTCCTTTCTCCCCCTCCCTCCTCCCTTCCCTTCCCATCCCCCCCCACACACTCTCTTACTCACACACTCACTCTCACACTCACACATTCATTCATTCTGTGAGGGCAGCGGAAGAGTAATTAGCGGACACAGATAAAGAGCCGCGGCAGCAACAATGAGAGACGAGCGCCAGTGAGAGAGGCAGCAGTGCTAACGCCCTTGCTCATTGTTTACCATTCACAATGAGCATAGCTGTCTCCACTCACCTCCTACCTACATCACAAAACCACACACACCATAGGAAACACAAAACCTCCCATGAGAGAGAGAAAAAATGCAGGTGGAGGAAAATGTATCTTATATAAATGCTCGCTCTTAAAGAGAGATTACCTTGCTGGGATCACCCTCTCAGTGGTGGTGAATTATAGAGATGGTCCAAGCAAAGATTTCTTAGAGAAAATCAGCTGATGCGTGTTCTAATCATGTAATTACTTGTTTAGTGGGTCATTAGGGAAGTTTTTACAATTTTATCAGTGTTTAAATAGTTGTTGTGTGTTGATGACTCAAGGTCACAGTGTGTGTGATAGAGCACCTGGCTGCCTTCACCGCTGGCGCGCATCTGCGCATAAACTAATTTGAGAAAATCTTTTGGCATTAACTTAAGAATTTTTCTTAAAACCTTGAAAGGAGGGAGGTGCTTTGATGCTCATAACACATGTATACTCAGCTCATAACACATGTATACTCAGCTCATAACGCATGTATACTCAGCTCAACACATGTATACTCATCTCACAACACGTGTATGCTCAGCTCATGACATGTATATTCAGCTCATGACATGTATATTCAGCTCATGACACATGTATACTCAGTTCATAACACATGCATAGTCAGCTCATAGCATGTTCATATGTATACTCTGCTCATAACATGTCTACTCAGTTCATAACACGTATTCTCTGTAACGCATGATCATAATCTACTCGTTACACGTGTATGTTCTCCAACTTGTGTATCCATTTTGTGGCACCCACTGACTGTCATCCCAAATTTACATGGCGTCTTACAAGGGTAAAGCAGAAGGTATGTTTATCTAACAGCCATAACGGGGGATTGGTTATTACCCCTTGGTTGGCTAATTGGGCTTAAAGCTTATCGCCTACTCAAAGGGTCATTAAGACTGCTTGTTTACCACCAGTCAAGAATACCTTAATCCCCAAAATTGAGATAGATTGAACTCGGTGAATACATTGAGACATAAACACCTTTCGGTGTATATATATATCCTTTTGACAATGTGATCATATCAATTTAAAACAAACCTTAACTGGCAACTCATGTGCGTATCCCAGATGTACGATAATTGTTAAAATTGCGCTCAAATGAATTTAAATTCGTAATCTGTGGCTACATTTTAATTTAAGACATTAAATCCCTCTAATTAACTTGAGGTATCTTAACTGTTTTCACCAGTTTTTACAGCCAACACTGAAAACTTATTCATTGTTGGATTTTTACCAGGAAAATGTGTTAACTTATTTATCGAACTGGTAATTATGCAGTAATATTTAATTTTCAAATAGGTTCGGAAGGCTCACGAAATCGCATAAGATTTCAAATAACGGAACGGGTAGCATTGGACCCATGGCGAATGATTGGTAAATTTTACATAGAACGTAAGAAAGAAGGAACACTGCAGCAGGCCCACTGGTTCATGGGAATTTTACGACTCGCTCTCCATGTGTTTAAACTCCACCTGTTCCGTGGTTAGGTTCAGAAGGCAACATTAACCCTTCTGGGAGGGCCGCATACGACCTGCGGTCATCGGGTTTTTAACTCTTGCAAATTTCTCCACACAACCTATCCATATTGTGCAGCGTTCATTTTTAGTAAGAAACAGCCTCAGTGGAAATATTTTGTTGGGTTATTCCAGGTTACATTTTCGGAGTTTATCACCTTTGTATTCCTTTATCACTTATTTATGCCTTTAATGTGCTTAATGCAGCCATTGTAGATATTTAATGAAATATAATCTTGGTTGATCCTTAGATTGTCCTAGGGGAATATGCCCAATGTTATCTGTAAACATTGACAGTTTTAAAATGTGTGTGTATTTTTCTGGATGAAAAGATACAACAATACGAGTATTATAGCGTTTCGCATATACAGTTTTATATAGGTGAACTAAGTGATTCTTCCCTTGAGCGAAACGTTGTTATAAAATAGAGGATGATGTTGTTTTCTATCTTTCATGTACTTGTTGGCTCACTGTCTCATTAAGGTTTGTATTTATAATTAAATATCCGTTTCGACAAGGTTTATGTAACGTACCTGAATCTAACCTATTCTAAAATAAATTATTTTCTACATACTAGAAACTTTCAGAAATTGATGTAAAGTGAGGATGAGTTGAAGAACAGGCTACTTAACCTTTAAACTTCTACTTTATGGTCTGCAGATCACGCATGTGGAGAACTTCGTGTCTAATGTCAACTCAGCACTGAGACACAAGCACGAACAAGAGAGGCTACGTGATATCGCCAAGAGAATAGAAGCTTATGAAGCTGTGGTGGGTAGTACTCCTTAATTTTTGTTTCGTAGAAGTATCGTAGTATTACCATGGTCAGTATCTAGCTAAGGTAACGTAATAGATGTAACAATATTGTGGTACAACTGTTGGTAGTAGTAGTATAGTGTACTGACAAGTTGATGACTCTACTACCATTTATATTATCATACTTGTATGATACTGCAATACTGGTTTAATATTATATTCAAAAGTTATGGTTAAAATATTGTTCAGTAATACTATCCATTAATACTAGTTTGCATATTTGTACAGTAATACTGAACTATACAGTGGTACTAGTTTGCATATCTGAACTTTTTGGTCTGGCGATTAGTAAGCTGTAGGTGGAGCCTCCAAGCTCCACCTACAGCCTACATGTTAGGCGCTTCATAAAATTTGAATATTTTTTATGCAGCTTCTGGTGTTGACTTTGCCCTAAATCAGCACTCGCTATATTTTCACTAACAAGTGCGAATCTCTTGACAAATTTGGATGGCGGTTTCTGCACTATTTTAAATAGACTTACTGTAGACCACAGGTGTATCTATCTTCATTATTTATTATTTTTATTATTATTATTATTATTATTATTATTATTATTATTATTATTATTATGAGGGGAAGCGTAGAACCCATACAACACCTGGTGGTGAATGAGAGGTAGTTATGTTTAATACGAGGGAGGGTATCGAGACTAAACCCAGTTGTAGTCATTTGTCAGTTGGAAAAAGAGAGATTTGATCTCTACTCCCAAAAGAGGTTCCTTGTTGATCCAGTGAATTTGACTTGTCCCTCCCCTTCGAGTTTTGCGCTCCCTCCTTAATACAGTCATTTTGATCCATCTCCAGAAGCTCAATGGGTGTACAGTACATCACGTATATCGCTCAATAAAGAATTAAATTTATTGATGGGTAATATTTCTTAGTGTAGTGTATACTGTTTGATTTATTGGAATTTAAGTCATATAGAGGTCTAAATTATTTTAAAACTCATTAAAGCGTATAAGAATTTGATGTTTTCGTACAACTGTATTTACTCAACTAGGCTGATGAGTTAGTTGTTCATTGGTAGTGGTGGTATTTTATTATGAGAAATAGGGGAAATAAAATTCCTGAGTGGGGGACTTATTTGCTTGACTATTTAATAATAAATATTAATAAAACATAAAGTCAAATAGACGAATGTTCATTTGATATTTAAATTAGTTATGGACATACCAATAATTACCACAGGAGGCACGGGACGATGAACTGGAGAGAGTGGTAAGGAACTACTCTGATCTGAACCTCACTCAGCCCATGCCAGGCTGTCCGGAACACCTTCCTCGACACCTGCTGCACCACGGTGACCTACGACTCAGGGACCCCCACACTTCCAAGATGGATGTCCATGTATTCCTTTTTACTGATCTCCTCCTCATCACCAAGGTCACTCAGCGCAAGGCAGAGAAAGTCAAGGTCAGTAAGGCCATTATGTCTATGGGAAAGCGTTAAAAACCGAAAGGGCCAAACATCGCTTGGATAAAGGAAGATAATCGAGTTAGATTAAATAAAGGGTCCTTCATCGGCATCAAGGTCAGGAATTTGAAATAAAAGAAAAATAAACAAGCTTTCAAATTCATCCTCGGTTTGGGGGATGAATTTGAAATATAATTACAAAAATAATCTGCCTTTTAGATTCATAACCATTTTTCGCGATGAATTTGAAATGTTACGGAAATAAGTTGCCATTAAAACTCATAACCACTTTGGAGGATGAGTTTAAAATATAATTACAAAGATAAGCTGCCTTTCAAAATCATGACCAGTTTGAGGGATGATTTTGAAAGCCTATAATTCTATTCTTGCTCTGAATGGCCCACACTGGTTTAAGTGCCTCGCATAAGTATAATGATAATGACTTGGCTGGCAGTTTGGATGTATATGTCGGCTGCACTCTCGTACTTAAAATCAGACGGGTGTGTGTGCTGATGGAGTGAAGCGCCATGGTTGGATAGTCAATAAATTGGGTGTGAAATTGCATGTAGTGAGTTTATAAGACTCTGCTGTTGCCGGAGGTCATACGTGGTACGTACGGGATGGGGAAGGCAAACTGCGATATCAGGGTGTAAATCCCATTTTCGTCAAGCTAGACTATGGCGGCGTATGAGACATTAGTGGCTAGTTACCAGGATGGTGTGCTCTGTGACAGTGACGTCACTGTTCAGCAATATACACGAGTTAAAAATAAAAAATAAATTTGAAATTGACGAGACGTATATCAGGAGTACGACACTGCATGTTGCACACAGGTCAACTGATATGAAATCGAAGATTTTGGGCTTAGGGTTATGGGCGGACAGAGTCGATTGGGATAGTTCCTTTGTAGAGAGATGACACTGAAGTTATGTAGGATACATTATACAAGGGATAAAGGGCTTGAGTGGAAAATAAATTCGCAGAGCATTATGGAGCGTATCTGCTGTATACTGGGGACTTTGAGGCCATGGCATGTCACAATCTTACAAGAGAAATCATTGTCAGTTTTGAATTCTTATAGTAATTTTTTTTTACCTAGCTATGTTTATCCCATGTTGCGGATGGTGGTGAAGATTCAAGCGGACGTTAAGATTAATAGGAGGAAAATGTGAATGGATACGGAGGGAAGTGATTAATTTGCATGTGAAAGGAGGCATTCAGGTCGATCGCAGGAAGAGAAGAATAAGTCCAGTTCCTTTAATCAAGAGCACGGTGAAGAGTGCGCGTACGTAAAGCGACTGGTGGCACACAGGAATACATTAAAGGATAGTGTGTTAGGGGTATGTATGAACAACTGAGAGAATTTAGAGCAGGGTAGAGTTGAGGGACTGTATTTAATGAGTGTTAATTATGGTGGGGTACCCAGAGGTGTGCCACTGAAGAGGTTGTACAAAAAAAAAAAATACCACGGACGGGGAGTGAGTCGTGAGGTTGTATAGATTGTTCATGCACAAACCGAGGCCAACTGTCGAAAACACGTTTCGTCTGTATGACTGGCGTCCATTTGGAAGATATTTCTGATGCTCTTAATCCCGGTAAACGGAGAAATTATGTACAAATTTCTGAATAGTATACTGCCGGCGAGGGCTGTACTTCTTTACCGATGGGGGATGACGGAGGCAGTGTGTGATGTGCTAAAAGTTGCACACTGCATACCATGCTGTGCATTTACGTGCAGTATGGGGAAGGAAGATAGTGTTATGTAGTGTCACGTGTAGTGTGACTGTTTGGGTGTTGCACAGTCATACTACACGTGACTTTGTTTAACATCCAGTTTGAAGGATGTAGCAGCAAATGCAGCTGCTTTCATTATGATAGATTTTGGTAATCATGTGGAAATTGACAGGAGCATGTCATGAGGAGAGAGTGAGAAAGAGGGTTTTGGCAGTTAAATTTCACAGAACTGCAGTACACAGTAGTGAGATGTGTTGGGTAGGATGTATGAGAAAAAAATAGTCAGCATATAGACAAATGTGTTGCCAGGGGAGTAACTTATAAAACACAGTACATTCTAAGTTATTGTTATTTATGTGTCATTCTTGCATGTTGGAAAGTGTGCATGAGGTCTGAGTATGAGGGGGTATATACTGCTAGTGTATATTGGGTGTGATACATATGCAATATTTATTATTTTGTGTATTATTTATTTGAATTTCCCATTCAGTATTTATCAAAATTGTAAAATTTTAGCTTATGATTTTGGTTATTTATGCAATATGCGGTAATCGTGCATCTTGGGAGGTATGTCCGAGGAGGGCGTACCTGAGGGGGTGAATGAATGTGCGACTGTATATATTTGGCAGGTAATGTGGATTTTTTTATTATTTAATTTAATATTTCCATTTTTGTTTGTGGTAATAATGAGTCTGAGGAATGGGCTTTGAATGTTGTAGTCAGAAAGCGGCTAAAGGTACTAATGTCATGTTTGAGAAGAATGTTTATCTTTATTATGCCAACCAGTGGCATTATCGATCCAATACCTGTCCAGTCTTCTGTATTGTATTGATAAAACCACTGGTTGGCGAAACGTCTACATAATAAAGATACAGATGTTTCACATGTCTAATTCATCACTAAGTGACGTGATAACACGAGAAATTGTAATTTATTTGTTATAAAATTGTTCTTCCTCCAAGCACAGTGAGTAGCAGAATAAATCTTAACTCAGTGTTATCCTATCAGATTGTGCGTCCGCCATATCACGTTGAGCGGCTTGTGTTGGTTGAACTGAAGGACAACACCTCGATTGGTCTTGTATCTATAAATGAGTGGAACGTGGCCGTGGCTGCCTTTACTCTTCAATGTCCAGATCAGCGCGCGCACAGGTTAGTTTCTCACACCTATGCTTTAGCAAAGTATTCATTAGAAGTATACCTGTATGCTTCATGTTTTGTTAAAAACAACCTTGAGCTTGTCCCATTCATCACCGGGACAAGTTACAGTACATTGCTTGAAATTTTAATTTAAATTGTGTGTACGTTCCATGATTTTTATGATAATTATAATTGCATCGAGTCCAAAGCCTAATATCAGTCGTTTAATTTTTTCTTTCACAGAACGTGGTACGATACACTAAAGAGAGCAAAAGATCAGTACAGGGAAGCGCAGCAGGCGCAGGATGTGGTGTATGACGATATAACGTGTGTGGGTCATCTAGTACCTCGTTCACCTCGTCCAGGCTCCTCCAGAGCGTCTCGCGTCTCAAGTCTGGCACATTCTCACTCGGGTTCTATAGATCTGAATGAAACCTCTCCAGCTACTCAACATCACCCTAGTATTGACATGAGTGATGTGAGAGCGTCTAGTGCCTCCAGTGACGATTCTATTGCCCAGTCTGCTCCAGAGATTCAGAGATCTCGGTCGCTTGAAGGTGGTGGTAGTGGTGCTATATCTCCTCGTCCAGACCGTCGTCCAGGCTTCCCTAAAACCCCTAATACATTAAGTGTTATACCACCTTATTCTACTGGACAGTCTCTTCCAAACCTCACTGTAGAGTCTGCTAATTCTCTTCTTCGTGTGCCTGGTACCAATGGAAGCAATCCGAAAGCTCTTTCCCCTTGCACTAGAGGAGTGTCTTACCCACCGCCCTCTCCACGTACACTTCGCCGGTCAGCGCCCGTACCACAGTCACGGAATCCACCATTACTAAAATCCCGCCATGTGACTTCCATGGTTGGATCTCCACAAGATGTAGACCAAAACGAACAAGATGATAGCACAAGGGGCCAACGTCGTACATATCGCATTGATAGGATGGATAACCGACGCTATCACACTGCAGGAGCTATTGATGATATCAAGGTATTGTTTAAAAAACACTTTAACAGTAAGGTTGTAATCATGATTTACTAAGACTAATTACACATACAACTCGTAAAATAATTTTTACAAGTTAAATGACCAAACCTCTTTCGTTATATTTGTTTTTTCAAAATCCTTCGGGATGGCTGTAATTAACGTGGAAAATATTATCAGTGATTCAGTGTTAGTGTGACAGTAAGGATGGGAGAAGCTTTCTCAGAGAGTTGGTCGGTTTCTGCTTCGTATGGTTTTGACAGCTGTATATATTAAGGAAATGGGTATCATGGATAGCCATTTAATAATGTATAAGTTTGTTTGAAGTAATAGGAGTTAACTTTCAGGTCACAAACCCTGGCTATACAAGCGTATTCTTAGGCCAGACACAACACTTGGTGCGGTGTGATCTTGAGTGTGACGAACCTTGACCTCGGATTTTTGGTTCTGATTCATACTTGAAACTAAATGCCTTACCTTATATGGGACTTCGGGGGTTCCTTCATTTTTCACACAATCTCTTCCAATTACAACTCCAGGGAACTAGGTTCCGGTAACCTGAAGTTATTGGATAACATAGTTATTGCTCTAATATTGTCAATATCAGGCACTAATTGTATAATCGAAGGACCAGTCAATCAGAAAGACTTGACACCCATTGACTATATCGACAAATAATGGACATAAAAATTAGATAATAGCTTATGCATGTTTAAATTCAAGATAAGATAGAAAATATAGGTGGTTATATTAAAAATTTAACATTAGAATGATAAACGACAGCTAGAACTATTTATTATAAAAAATGGGAGTGCTACAGGCAGCTGTTTAATATGAAGACAGTGGTATAAAAGGTGAAGTAATCACAGGTAGTTGGGTCTGCAGCAACAAAGAATCACTTTTAAAAACCACCTTAAGATTAATTATAGTTAATTGTTCAGAATAGGCACATTTTGGTTCAAAAAGAAATAGTAAAATGTAATACATAGAGCATAATATTCAAGGTGGATGAGTGTCAGCATAACTGATTTTAGTATTGAAAAAATCAAATGTCACAAGTGGAGTTTGCTCAGTAAATACGTGCTAGGTGGGCTGAGGTTCTTAGTATCGTGAAATTCAGCTGAGATCATGCATAAAGAATGAATATTGGAGGAAGATGGGATGGGATGGTTGATTGAAGGTTGAGAAGTAAATCTGGTGGTTAAGATTAGCCAGACCTCAGCATTTAAGTGCCCAAACAAGCCTTATATGGGACGAGTGACGTTTACCCACTCAAAAATATTGAAAACATGATTATTTAGTATATTATATTTAATGGTTAAAAATACTTTCAGTATTGCCTGTTATTATTGATGAAACAGAAGGAACGTTATTAAAAGCTCATTAATTTCAATTCAAATGCCTTCACAATAATCATAGGTAATTATTGCATCGATCTTTCTAATGCTAATTTCGTTGGTAGAAGCAGCATTAATAATATACATGCATTTACCTACCTATGTTTTGAGTAAAGTGTAAACATTTAAATTTGACACTGGAGTGGAAATGAGCTGTGTGGGTAAGTTTCCACAACAAGCCTTTTAAAAAGTGTACCGGAATGTCGAGATTCTAGCCAGGGTTCATTGTGTTTATTCTTCATTTTACTTCCAGTTTACTCAAGCTGCTTCTCCCGATTGCACAATTTATAGTGTTGTCACTGTTGTGTTGATTTGGTGATTATTGTAACTTTAATTCCTTTTTAATTAGAGAAAGAGCGTCTTTCAGCCTACACTGATATTAATATACGATTAGCCCAGAACTTTTATTTTAAGTTTTAACGATCATGATGATATTTCTATTTTAGGATAAAATTTATAATGATAAATAATTTTTTTTTGCCGCCGACGTGAACGTTTTTAAAAGATTTTTTTCTATTTTCTATTTATATTCAGATATCTAGTCTTTTTTATATTTCATTGATCAAAAATATGTTTAAAGGGTTCATTGAAAGATTTTCGAGGTGACTCAATAAAATTTGTGAAAATTGGTATATTTTTATTATATTTTTTTTTACTTCATTAATATCTAAGGTATTCCCGTGAATAATGTTACATTTTCATTTTATTCGTATCCCTAACTTTGAAATCTGTAATAATATGTCTGTGCGAAAACAAAAGCATTCACATTGCTAAACTCACAAACTAGTATTTAGTCACTTAACCATAATACCAACTTACCTCATAATTTGTAATATTTTAAAGTTAAGAATTAATCTAAGTCTGCCCGAAATGCCTAGCCATGCTAGGTGTTCTAGTGGCCCCCTCTGTAATTAATATTTTAAAACATGTAAACCACACAATATCCAAATTCTGTAAACTCAGCATTGTAATTCTTACAGAGAATAAACTTGATTTGATTTGATTTTGATTTGTTAAACAAAATAGGAAAATCTGGACTCTGGTACTACATTACGACATGAATGTGTAGTATTTTTCAGTTAATGCAGATTGAAGCCTTGTATAAGTCTTATCAAAGGTTTTATAATTCCCTTAGTTTTATATATCTATGTACAATGATAATCGTATTAATATTTTGGTATTTAAAATCCTACAATCAGATTTTTTGGTAACGTCAAAATAATTCAAATTAAGTTCATATTTCAACTCGGTTAATTTCAAGACAATTTTAGAAAAAGCACTAATAATTATTGATAAAAGAACTCTTCTATACATTGTATTGGAAGGTAATTACTATCCTTGATAGCAATCTGTAAGATATTACAAGTTATAGAATATGGTCCCTCGTATATTAAATGTTAATACTTTTGCAACTCTTACTCAGAAACAAAATGCCAAGGATGCATCCATACATAAGCGTCTATCATGGAACTATGGGCAAGGTCCTACTCCCTCTCGAGACCTTGTCAATGACCAAGGCAAATTGGGTCGTCATAAACACTCTGTGAAGAATATCTCTTGTGAATCTGTACACAGCTCTTCCGGCGTCTCCTCAACCTCGTCTTTACATCGTTCAATGGGATCAGAAGTTGAAGCCCTAGAAAATATAGATGATAATGAACTTGAAGGTATGATAACATTAAATTATTTATTCTAGTAGTAAATGTGTCCTAAGTTGTGTGCATTACTACAGTATTAAGGAAGTTATAAAACCGTATAGGGTTACCTAGTGTCTGGGGAAGATTCGTTAATCAAGTTTGATATGAGGAAGGGAAATCTCTGGTTCTTACTTTCAACAGTTGTTTACTATCAAGGTGCCTTTCCCTTCATAGAAAGGCTAAATATATGTAAGCATTAATATAATTAGCCTGTTTCTTGCATTTTTGATGTATTATGTCGATTAACTTAGAATAATTTATGACCTGTCACCAGATGGTGAGGCGACTGTGGTGGACCTAACAGTCAGTGATTGTACCAGCCTAAAAATATCTCCTCACATTTCTACAACTTACATCTGCCATGACTCAGACATCACGCTTGGAGTTTGCTCACAGTATATTACTCAACCAAACTGCTCTCCCGAGGTAAGCATTTAACGTAATTTTACCATAAACCATCAAAATGTAAATTAAACATATAAACTAATATTTGCAAGAACTTGAATGTTTTAAGCGGGTTTTTTTACGTGTAAGATTACTTAAGATGTCTCATAACAAAAAAAATATTCATATTTAGTGAATCAAAAGTAGAAACCAAAGTGAATTAACAGCCTATTGTTCAATGTGGAACAGTGTGCGCTGCCTTGGTCAAACACTCGTGTAGCAGCCCCAGAATCCGCTCGCCCTTCCCACTAGGGAGGTCCTACTGCCAAAGTGGGTGACACTGTAGAATCTAGTTACGCAAATTATATATTACAGCTATAAAAGATAATGTTTTAACATTCATGATATAATATTTCTATGAATCTTTATGACTTTCTGATATTTTGATGTTTGATAGCAATTTTTTTAAAGCTCCTATTTATCGCTCGCCAGCATGATCAGCCTTATAATGTAAACATTTAGACACATTGGCAAAGGGATGCATTTCTTTGATATGTTAATGTTAGAACAAAATTGAATGTTTGACACACAAATTACGTGCTATAGCCTCATCATCCCCCTTGGGAATAAATATGGCAACTTTTTCATTCCCTCGGGAGTAAATGATAGGTCATCATAATCCTGGGGCTAAATATAATCAGTCCCTTGAGAATAGATTTCACATCCTCATTTAGCCCCTTGAGATTAAATATTACTCCCCCCATCAGCCCCTACAGAGTATAAATATATCATTAACAGCTCCTTAGGAGTAATAATCACAGTCTCATCAACCCCTTGAAAGTAAACATCAGAACCTCATCAACTACTTAGGATTAAATAAAAGCCGCAATTCTTTAAGTATCCACAAATAAACATACGCCATACTTAAACAAATATGATATAATTAAAATATTAAAAATATTTCTTTTATAAAGTCATACAATGCTAGAGTACTTGCTATAGTTGTAAAAGAAAATTTGAAGGTGATATATAATAAATATTGTATGGGGTATCGGTGAAGAAGTAATTTATATGAAAGCCATTTTGAGGTAGACAAAAATAGTCATTTCAGATGCATTTCATTAATTGTAATGCGTTGGTTTATGATTTTAAGTTCATTATATTATTTGTTAATGAAAAAAATTGCAAGAATAGGGCATTAGCCATGAATATTTCTTGAAAATAAACACTAAACAACACAGTTATTTGCAGTTGGGCTTTAGAAAAAATGCTTTACCTATTGGCTTTCCAGATGGTTCTGCATGGCAGTAATATTAAGCGGTACATAATATGATTTTTAATACACTTTCTTAATGTACTTATTTTTTTTTTTTTTAGAATGTTAGGTTCTTTCTCATTTCTTTTTAATTTGTCTGGCGGACCCCGTCTCTAGAAGCTTATTATAGACAGGAAGTCTGTGGTTTGCGAAGGTATCCCTGTTTTGCCAGTGCATTTCTGGTGGGTTTTAAATCTGCATTTTGATTTTATTAGTGTTGTGTAATTTTATTCCTCTCGGAGAAAAAAAAAGTGTGTACTGTGATCTTGCATAAAAAAATGTCGTGTATATCTAATAACAATGTGCAAAACTGCAAAATTGTTTGGACTTCTGTGAATTGTTGTGTGATGCAAGTGTTGCATACTCATCAACCTTTCTCTGTTATTCATTGTGACATAACTGTGGGACGATTTCCATCACCTTGCATTTAATGATTTTCTTTATCAATTAGTGAAATGTTGTCACAGTGAAATTTTGCTTTGCACCTGCCTTCATTGTTCTCTGCAGTAGCCCTTTTTATTTGCTTTAAGACAGCAGCCAGGGTAATGCTCGAGGAGTTTTCTTGTCATTTTACCCAAAGGTACTTATAATCATTCCTCGTTTGTGTTAGCAGTTTTGCATTGTTGCTCCTACTTCCTGCATTGATATTAATGACTGATTGACTGATATAACAAGATCCTTATATTTTTCGGTTGTTAGCAAATTATGTTTTCTGTATAGCTAACTGTTGTGCGTTGTCTCATACGCACTGAATAACACTGGTCAATCTCTTAACCTTGTATGAGGTTCATGTGTTTCATTTTGCATGGAACCATACCTTCTCCACCGTACCGTATAGTACCGGCCACATATTTTACGTCATTTGACTTGCTTAAACATTCCACTCCACAGGGCTTTTTGAGATTGGAATTTTTGGCTCAGTCATTCACATAGTGCCTGAACAATGTAACTGGCAACCGGTAGAAAAAAGTGCAAACACGTTTGTAAGGAAACATTTGTCTTACATCAGTGCATGTTGTGACGTTTTGATTATACACTATTGTAAATCTAAAGTTGCTGAAGGATTGCAGTTCTGAGTTATTTTTCATGTTTACCTGTTGATAATTCTGGAGGTTATTGCCCTTGCAGCCTGGTCTCTACCGAGGCATAGTTGACGGCTTGGTCAGTCAAGCTGTTGGTGCTCGCTGCACGCAGTCCACAGCCCAGCTGATCAGGAACTGCATAAAGGAATTTGCCGAGTTCTCTATTGAAGACGGTTAAAGGCCTATGAGTAATTTTCATTACGTATGAAGGGTAGGTGTTAAAATGACTTGTGGCGCTTTTTTTTATCACTTAACCTATTTATTGTATCTTTGCTTTCCATGGAGTTTTTTTTTATTATGTCTCAGGGTGCAGATTCGAAACCAGTCCTTCCATTAAATTAGGATATATCATTGTTGCCTTTTTTTGTAGGACAATTTAAGTGATTTTAGGTGTTCACAATAATTTAGGTGCGTTCTCCTGATCTGTGATTTCGTAATATTCCAGTCTAGGGAGTACAAGAGTCTTAAAGAATTATTGGCTTGGCATCTCTTGTATTTAATGTCGTTTTGAAATAATGTTACTGTTTCCTTAAATGCAAGAGCTTTCAACAAGATCAGCCCCTGTTCACCTCATCACCAGGGTTAAGTGTTGCTAATCCAATGAATTGGAGCTATATTCCAATTATCGCACTTGAGGAATTTGCAATTATGGAAGTTTTCGAAAACTGGCTTTAGTTTTCTGCTGCAGTTCTGCTTGAAGATTGAATGATCTTACAGATTTCCTGTCTTCGGGCACTTTGACTTGCTTCAGGGATTATCAGAATTAGTCTTATTGGTAATATACATAACTGGTCCACTTTGCTTCATACTTTATATTTAGTTATTTTCCATTTATGCTTAAGCTTTGTGATGGTTATGAAAATAAGATTAGGCTGTGGTTTACCAGTTCTGTTGACAAATACGCTGTCCAGTAGCTTGATTGCTAGCACACTCGGCTCACACACTGAGGTCCAGAGATCGAATCCCCGGTACGGCTGGAAAACATTAAGACGTGTTTCCATTTGAGACCAGTTGTCCATGCTCACCAATCATAATAAACTTAAAAACTAATGTCTCCACTCTGTAAATTAAGAGGTATACAGGCCTAGCTGACATGACATACTACTATATAGAAAACCGCTTGTTATGCAAGAGTATTTCGGGCAAATTAGGTCAGTTTTGTCCCATGATGCCCCACACCAGTCGGCTAACACCCAGGTACCCATTTTACTGATGGGTGCACAGATACAGCAGGTGTCTTAAGGAAACATATAATGTTTTCCAGCCGTACCGGGGGTCGACCCCCGGACCTCAGTGTGTGAGCTGAGTGCACTAGCAATCGAGCTACAGGACTAGTGTGACTCAGATCACTTAAACTGAGCCCATCTCATATTAGCATATACGGATACTAAATCATCATTTGTATTTGGTACCCAGTCTAGAATATTTTTTATACTGTTCGGGCATCAGTCTGATAGATCACACTTTTTAACAAGTGTACAAACTTTGCCCAGGGTCAGTAAAAGTAGATTCTTCCTCATTCAGTAACTAGATTAAAATCGTTCATTTCACATCACTTTTAGGTGACTATAACACCCTGATATTCTATACATTTCAGGGTGCTGAACTGATGTCCGGCTAATTGTCCCATATATCTCACTTAATTTTTATTTCTATGGACATAGGCAATTTTCTGCTTTTTTTTTAATAGTGATTTTGAGTATGATTTTTCTGACGCCATTAAAAACAAATATCCAGAAAGTGGTATTTAACTGCTTGATAGGTTTACTGTATTTTGATGATAACTTCTCGCAGTAAGAAAACATTTTCATTTCTCAGCAAGTCTCAAGAAACATAATAGTTATTAGTTAATACAGACAAATAGTAGGATAAAAATATCAAAATTTAATTCTTTTACTGGGTTTGTCTGTAAATTTAAATTACTTAATTATTTGACATGAACAATGGTAAATCATACAAGGAATTCATATTAAGCATATATATATATATATAAATTATGGGGAATCAAATTCAAAATGGGAATTGACACAGTTGCTTTTTGCTGATGATACTGTGCTTATGGGAGATTCTAAAGAAAAATTGCAAAGGTTAGTGATGAGTTTGGGAATGTTGTGTAAAGGTAGAAATTAAAGTGAACATAGAAAGATAAGGTGATGAGGGTGTCAAATGTTTTAGATAAAGAAAATTGGATATAAAATTTGGGGGGGAGGAGTATGGAAAAAGTGAATGTTTTCAATATTTGGGATTGACTTTCGGGGGTGGATTTATGAAGGATGGGGTTTAATCATGAAATTTGAGAGGGAAAAAAGGTGAGTGGTGCGTTGAGGTTAGGTGGAGTCAAAAAACTTTACTAGGAGGCAAAAAAGGGGAATGTAAAATTGTAGAAAACCAACACCTTATATGGGTGTAAACTTGGTGGAAATGAGCAGCGAGAGCTTTTGGAGGCATGGAGATGTCCTTTTAAAGGGGAAATGTTGGTTAAATTTTATGCAGAAAATTGGGAGTGGGGAAATTAGGGAAGGGTGGATTTAAAAAAAAGTTTAGTCAGAGGGCAGAAGAGGGGTTGTTGAGGGGGTTTGGCATTTAGAGAGAAGGATAAAAAGGAAGACAGGGAAAAACAAAAAATTTATGGGGGAAGGAAGGGGGGGTAGGGGTCTCCTCGAAAGGGGTTGGAAGGGGGGTAAAGGGGGTTTTGGGGGAAAGGGTTTGGGACTTCCAGCAAGCGTGCGTGAGCGTGTTAGATAGGAGTGAAGGAAGAAGGTATTTGGGGACCTGACGATCTGTTGGAGTGTGAGCAGGGTAATATTTAGTAAAGGGAAATTAGGAAAACCGGTTATTTTCATATAGTGGGATTGAGTCCGGAAAGGGGAAGTACAATCCTGCACTTTAAAGGGGGTTTGGGGAAAGGCAGTTTGGAGGGATAATGTTTTATCTTTTTATGGTATGCTTCAGACATTTTATTCTAGCACCCCCTGCAAAAACAGTGATAATTGCGAGTGGGGAAGTGTTGAATGATGATGAAAGTATTTTCTTTTTGGGGATTTTCTTTCTTTTTTGGGTCACCCTGCCTCGGGGGGAGACGGCCGACTTGTTGAAAAAAAAAAAAAAAAAAAAAAAATATATATATATATATATATATATATATAATATATATATAAATTAATTTTAAAATATATATATATGTTTATATAATATATATATATTTTATAATTATTTATATATGTTTATATATTATTTATTATATTTATATTATATTTAATATGTTTATATATTTATATATGTTTTATATATATATTTATATATATGTTTATATATTTTATATATGTTTATATATATATTTTATATTAATTTTATATATATAATGTTTTATATATATATTTATATATATAAAAAAAATTTTATATGAAATTTAAAGATCACAGTAAAAGTGATTTCAAAATATCAAAACAACCACTTGAAAAGAATGAGAAATTCCAAGCGCTTTCGTGACTACCAATTATCAAGAATATCATAGTTCCTTGATAAATGTGAAGTAGTCACAAAGCTTGTTGAAAGACTTGTTGAAAAAAAAAAAAAAAAATATATATATATTTATATATAAGTTTAAAATTTATATATATATATATATTAATATTATATATAATGTTTATAATATTTATTTATATATTTATTATGTTTTATATATATAAATATATATGTTTATATATTTATATTTTAATAATATATGTTTAATATAATGTTTATATATATATATATATATATATGTTTATATTTTTATATGTTTATATTATATGTTTATATAATATATATATATATATATTTTAATATAATATATATATATAATAAAATATATTTTAATATAAAATATATATAATAATGTTTATAATATATTATTAAAATTATATATATTTATAATAAAATATATGTTTATATATTTATATAATATATGTTTAATATTTAATATATATGTAAATATATATATATATAAAATATAATATATTTTAATATATATATATTTTAAATATATTTTAAAATATATATAAATGTATTTAATAGTTATATATATATATAATATATGTTTATATATATATATATATGTTTATAATAATAATATATATATGTTTATATATGTTTATATAAATATATAATATATAAATATATAATAATAGATGTTTATATAATATTTTATATATATATATATATATATGTTTAAATATATATATATAAAAATGTTATATATAAATTAATATAATATTATATATATAAATATATATATTTTTATGTATGGCCCCCCCTTGGTAGACAGCAACCACCCAGAGGTACTACCCCCCCCAAGTGAGTGTAAAACGAAACCCTGTAATTGTTTACATGAGGGTAGATTGCTGATGTCTTTGTCTGTCTCATAAATATGCAAGATTACAGGTATGCTTGTTTTTACTTAACACTTAGGTCACACTACACATACATGTACCATTTATTTATACACAAAATTAGTTTTCTTTGTTTTATCTTAAATTCGGGGCTTATACTTTTCCTTAAAATCCAAAGGGGGAAGGGGGGGTGGAAAAGAAAATTTTCCCCCGAAGCCAGCGTTTGAAAATCCAAAAATGCGGGTGGGCTTGTCCCTTTTCTGAAAGATTATTAAAAAACAAAAGAAGAAAAAATTGTCAAGGGGAATGAATGGCGTTTTTTTAATTAAAAAAGGGGGGATGTTTTGGAGGAAGCTGGAGCCGTTTAAAAGTGAAACAAAGCGAAGGGGGGGGAGAGTTTTCAGGGGAGAGGAAAAAGTGTTGGTCAGGGGTTTCAAATAATTTTAGAGCTAAAAAAAGGAGAGCAAAAATGTTGAAGGTTTAAGCTATGGCAGGGAAAAAGGGACTATAAATGTTTAATTCAAGGGTTTGTGGAGTAAAATAAAGATTGTGTGAAAAAAAGGGGTTATAATAACGTGTAGCCCTGGGGGAAGAGAAAGTGAAAGGGGGAAAAGAGAGATTTTGGGAAAAGTTGAGTGAATGGTGGGGGTTTTGAAACAAGTGTGAGAGTAATGGTGGTTGGGGATTTCAATGCTGAAGTGGGTTTAAAAAAGTTTTTAGGGGGGGTGTAGGGAAATTTGGGGTGCCGGGGTAAATGTAAATGGAAGCCTTTAATTGGCTTTGGTAAAAGGGGATTTTTTAATAAGTAATACTATTTTATGAAAAAAAAGGATAAAAAAATACAAGGTAAGATGTAGC